CCCCCCCCCCCCCCCCACCCAACCATCGCTCAATAAACTTCACAGTGAGAGGATCTGAAACGAGAGTACATAAATTGCTTTTACATATAACAACGAAGCTTAATCAATTGCTTTGGATGTTGATTGTTTAAACTGTAGGGGGGTAACACATAAGGATTTGTAAATTATAGCTTTTTAAAAACTAAGTGATATGAATTGCACGATGCCAGTTCTGTCAACGAGATCTACGTTGCGAGTTGCAGATATTACTTCTCTTAAGTAAAGCTGACAGATGATGACAAAAAAACGGAGAGTTCTAAACCCAAAATAGAAGATTTCTGATGTAATATCAAAATCCAATTACAAACACCTGACCCTCTAAGCCTTAAGGGTGGTCAGCATTCAATTTCTCTTCAAAAAAAAAACCCTACTAACCGAGAAAAGTGTACGAGAATCAAAAAACTGATCACCAACGAATCATTCTGCTGACCTCTAACAAATTATCTTAGTTATAAGAAAAGTCTGCAGACTAATGAGGAGAATTTTAAAATATGCAGGGGTTAAAAAAAAAGATTCGGTGACCAGCGATTTACCGCTGTCTGTTGAGCTTGCGAGCAGGCCTTCGTGTTTAAGTTTCGCCGGTGCACAGTCGCCTATTAAACCATCGGTAGCCGTTTATGGGAAAGTTACTGAAACCCCTGTTATTGAGCAGCTGTATGGAGGCGTCTTAGGAGAATCGAACTTTGTTATCTTTGACAATGAAGGCGAAAATGGTGGGATCATCGCGCTACAAAACTGTTCAATCTTGTATAGATAATGATTAACACTATTCTCCGGCTGAATGAATAGGACTTTTTCACATCTATGTAGAATTTAATGCTTTTCCACTGTTAATTATTTTTTCCCTTATTCAAGAGGCTCTTTACTACACCAACGTATTGTTCCTGAGAGCGTCTTCTATCCATAATTGATGCTTTCAAATTTTTTTTTTCTAAACTTTGCCTTCTATTTTCATTTCGTGCGTTTAAATAATTACTAGACGGGAGCAACTTAAGTTAAAATTTCGTTCTCATATTACCGCATCTCAAATAATTTTAATGGCCAGTTTGTGGTGAAAACAGCAGTGTGAAAGTGTGAAAGCAGTGTGGCTTTTAATCTCGCCGAAGTTAAGAGAGCCAAAGAGAAAAAGATATTTAAGATAGTTTATGTTGCAAAATGCAAATTAAACTATAGCGTGAGTACGGCCGAGTTGGACATTGATGTCATAACGATTGGAAAGAAAAAAATCTTTCATTCGGCAAAAGTAATTCATCTTATTTTAGTCTGAATAGGAAGTTGTGTTTGTTGTGAATAAAAGAACTATACAGAAAATCATTCTCACGAAACACTTTACGCAGGTGTTGCGGAAGTCGGACCTGAGGCAAATTTAAGACGATCCATCAATTTGAATACACTCTCCGTTTTTAGTTTCCATCAAAACAAGTTATCAAGACGAAATATGCTTGGCTACATGCAGGGTTTCCATAATTGACTTTTGATTCATAAGAAGAAGAGATGTATTATTATTTTTTTTTGAGGCATAGGGTCTCAGATGCTAACAATTCCTCGTGCATATTTCCGTCATGTGTGTGCCGATAATTGATTGGTTTTTAAATGAGTACCAGCTTAGTTGAAAAAGAAAGCTGGCTATGTAAAATCTCATTGCAAGTGAAGTAAAATCTGCAATCTTAAAGGCTCGATTAGTTAAAAGTAAATCAACCTATCATAATGCAAATTATACACATAGGGATGTTAAACATGCAAAATATTTCAAATTGCTTTTATGCCATTTAGTGACAGGTTGACTGTATTTGTTTTTCTCTGTTCCAAAGTATACTCGGCGAATTTTGCTGAGAACTTCTCAATATAGCAGGTGAATCATTCTTCAAAAGTGTCGATATCGTTTTCGCAACTTAACCAAAAGTGAACATCTTCCCAATTTATTTAATGAGACATCAGCGAGTGATTACCCAGACAACCGCAGCCAATATTTCGAATCCATTAGAGTGAATTGGCACCAGCTATTCACGTTTATTCATGCAGAATCTAGTTTAAGAAACAAACGTGAAACGATACAACGTCAATAAAATGGACGCTTTCTCGATTTGATTATTACAACGGGCACAGAGATATTAAACATCCCTTCCACCTACTAAAAGAAAAAACCTACGAAGAACCTCAGAGATTTGATTTTTTGTTTTCAAGTTCGTGCAACTACATTGAGCTGTAAGCGGAAAATTTAAATTTATCGATATCCATTTACGATCACAACATGCTTTGACAAGAAGCCTACGATATGAGTAATGGAGTTACTTATCTATCACCTGAAAGCTTGTCGCAAGTTTTGTTCCATTTCGTCCTTCCCACATCCCTCAAAATGCTTGGCCATGCTGATAAACTCCTGAAAGTCAATAACTCCGTCTTTATTTTTATCAAATTTCTTCAGAATTTCATCTATTTCATGATTGCTGGCGTTGAAGCCGATTGCTCGAATCAAGCTGCCAAACTCTGCCTGATCGATTTGGTCGTCTGCATTTCTGTCAAAAATGTTGAACGCTGTTCGCATAATGCGAAGTTCTTCGCTCGTGAGTTGGGTAATCTCCACCGTCATTTCTCTCACTCGAACATTGATAAAATCAACGATTTTCCTGGCAAGACACGAAATGTTTTTTTTCTGTCGAAAAGAGGTGAGTTTAACACGCCGTCGACCGCCTTAAAGGTGCTAATTGAAAACTGAAAGAAAAAATTTAGTATCTATCCATTCATAAAAGCTTAAAATGTTCTTCCTTCAGAGGCTCTCGAGGAAAAAAATAGAAACCAAACTCTGCGCGGGTTGTTTTAAGGTTTCCGAAAGGCTCTCTACGCCAGATGAAAAGTAAAATTCGTAGTTCCCTAAAGGCGCAAGGTGTTGTTCGGAAATGTGTTACTTATTCGCGCCACTATAATCAATTGCGTTTCCATAACAACTGCTTCAAGTGGTTTGTCAAACAGATCACCCAACGATCGCCCGCCGGTTAACCCGAAAAATATTTGCGATCATCAGCGTCCAAAGGGCTGGGGCGTTTTGAAAGTCACATGGCAGGGGTCCATATAAACAACTTATCTATCATTATAATGTTCAGACGGGTGATTGTCCGGTTGATGTATATCAAGATGGCAGGCTTTAATGGTGCAATTTATTAAAGGCATTGCCTAGGTGATAGTTGATGTTATCTCTGCGTAGCAGAAGATCTCCTGTTTAATTTCAAAATAGGATACGAAAAAACAATGGCCTGCGATCGTGTAGGCGGGTAGATGAAGAGATTCTAATCTCGATTCTAGAGAAACGCTTTCCCCGTGCGTATGTCAAATCTTATTTAAACGATATATCATCCTTGATGAAATAAAATTGATGAACTCGTAAGGGTGGAAAATGAATTTAACCGCCATATCCCCATAATATTTAAAAAGAAGCTCGCATGCTTAACGAGGGCGCCATTGTCTTCTGATCTCTCATTCAAGCTGGTAACAAAAATTTAAATGTAAAAAAGGGGGCGGATGAGACAAACACTGAATAAAAGAAAACCACCGAGCTTTGAAATCTAGTTTTTCTACGATTCCATTAGACGGAAATTGATTTTCGAACAGCTGAAGAAAAATATTTATGAAAGCATAAAAGCTTTACATTATGGTGAGCAACACTGATATTATCACTCACGTTCTCACTATTTCTCCTCAGGAGGGGAGGGAGGGGAAAGAAGAGGCTCATCACCCAATCATACTTCAGCTTCAAAACGAGGTTGTAACCCTTCTGATTGAATCCGAGCAAAGATGGAGTGATTCCGTGTTCAACCAGCTTTTGGAGACGGGAATTGTCTCCCCAGCAATCTGCAAGAATGAGTTTTGGACTATGAGACTCGAACTACGTCGACATGAGGCTTTTACTATGCCCTCGTTCCCATGATATCCCCTAGTTTCTCCTTATTGTCTGCCATAAAATTCTTATCGTGTTTGTTCGGAGAATTTGGTATGGGATCAGCTTAAAATCTCCTAATTGATATTTTTATTTATTCTCATCGATCATCGCTTGTCTGCTTGATACTGCACTTATATTGTAAGGAAAATTGTTGTCTTGGTCTCTCATGAGACTGAAAGGATTAACAAAAATGTCTATGGCTTTCCTCCGTTAAGCAACTTTTCCATCCCCTCTACTTTCTGCTATCCCACTCCAAATCAAGATGGCTCATTCATTCAGATTCAGTCCAACTAAACTGTGTAATCTGATAAAAATTTTATTCAGATTTGGATCAGTGCTCGAAGGATCCTTCGTTGCATTAATGAGATTGAGACACCTTTGGTAAA